TAATGTGGTCTGCTGTTGGCATTTCCTTAACTGTTTTCTGAAAGGGTTTACTAAATTATCAACAATATCGATAACGGTTAACCAGTTCCTTATCACGATGATTCTTTTCAAAAAGCTCTTTCTTAAAAAAGAGGTTTTTAATCTAAAAACAGTACAAAACAACAAAATTTAAGAAAATTACAGCAAACTCTTGGAACACAGCCACAAAAGGTTTAAATAACCCTTAGTAACAACGCCAACTAATGCCAAGTGACGGAAACACGTAATGCTTTTATTTACACACATCACGTGTGTCAGGTCAGGTTTTGACGTTTTGAGTTGCAATGCAAAGTTTTCGACATTTTGTGTCAAAATCCAATTACGCCGAGTGCTGATGCGGTCGATCCCCGGGGTTCTACTGTACAATTTCAGAAACACTGGGGGACAGTTCTCTTCTGACACACAGGCACGTGGTGAGTGGGAAGCCACTCGATGGCCGTGAGTGTGCTCGGTTACCTTGCTTTGTGTGTAGTGCGATGTCGCTGCTGGCCATCACTCTGGCCCCTCAAGACTGCAGCTCTGAGTAGTTCTCCATGCAGAAAAAGGAGTGTCATGCGCTCTCCATTTGTAGATGCTTAGTGGGTCCCCAAAGGCCTGGGCTCCAGTGAGCTCTACTGTGGAGTGCAACAGGCATCTCAGTATGTAGTTGCTCTCAGGCCCTGGGAACTCAAGCAAGAATGCAAAGAGGGCTGAGCTAGGAGGAGGCAGTCTCAATGAATCTGCCTCTCCCCCAGCACACCCCCTAAATGCCCCCTACTCACCCACTAACCAGAATATTGTAACTGGGACAAAGCAAGCATGCCGAATGTTTCTTCCCGGAAGAGAAGTTCTCTCCCCAGAAGGTCATCAACCCCCAGATAAGTCCCTTCTATAAGGCAACGTCACCTTTCCAGAGGTGAGGCAGGCCTACTGGGAGCTGAAACAGTAGAGGACACAGCTGGGCTTCTTTGCCGGGAGGCTCCTGGCCCCCATAACTAACGGAGCATTTGCTATATTAAATTCAACCCTGAGCTGGTGCAAAACATTAAAATCCTTTTTCAAGAACTCTAACCTTTGGTAGTGAGCTAGGCCTTGTTTCTCCTTTGCATGCAATTAGCATGCAAGGCATTAGGCAATTTCGAAAGCCAAAACTTCAGATAAAATTATATAAACAACACTAACCTTACTTTGGCTTCAGAACGCTGAATAATATTTTTCTAGAGTCCACTGCTTTCTGCATAAGTGCTTCCTTGCATAAATGTTCTTAAGAATATTCGTTCATTTGGGTTCTAGCCAAGTACAAACCTGCTGCAAATGGACAAACCCTTCCGGAAAAACTGGTCCATGCCCCAGTATAGTCTATCGCATTTCAGGCGAGAGCATGCCCAAGCAGGTATGCTACCTGCTACCCAAGAGAGGAACTCGCAACCCTGGGGCCTGGAATATTGATCAGTGGCTTACTGCAAACTGAACCCTGAACTATGGCCACAGGGATTCCTCACCACAACCCACTGGTTTCACCAGACTTCTCAAGAATCCCTTGATCCAAGGACCCAATCAATCAATCAATCAATCAAGACCCTCCCACAACTACAGGAGAACAAGTCCTATCTTTGGCATATGTAGGGTGCAAGTGGTTTTTGAATGCATTACTATTGCTGATTTTTCCTTCAAGATGGAAATATCTTTAATGAGGGGGGGGGTTATAAAGTAGTGCACATGAACTCACTAACTCACTACCATCTTTTCGATACCAACTCATAGTGACTAATGGGACAGGGTAGAACTGTCGCTGCGAGTTTCTGAGACGGTAATTCTTTAAGGGAGTAGAAAGCCCTGACTCTCCCCTGTGGTTTCAGACTGTGGAGCTTGCAGTCAGCGGCCCAACATGTAGCCACTATGTAACCAGGTCTCCTTGTGCGCATCCGTTGTATTAAAAAGAAAAAGGTACCAAGTTCCAAAGAACTGGACTGTGAACCAAGGTCGGTGGTTCAAACACACCAGCTCCTCTCAGAGAGAGCAATGAGGCGGTCTGCCCTGGTTCCGCTTCAGAAAGTCTGGGTAACTGTTCCACTCTTGTCTGACAGGGTCAGTATGAGTGGAAACTGATTCCTCAGTGGTGGGTGACAATAACGCTTCTACGCATAGGTCACTGCTGCTAAGGTTTGGGTGTAGTCTTTTGTTTTACAGATTTCTATTAAAATCATTCTTCTAAAACTGCACGTTCACTTGCAACACAACCCAAAGTACTTATTTTCCAACTAGATATAATGTGATTTGCCCCAAATACTCTAGGACTGCTGTTGATAACATTACTTATAGGAGATCAAGCATGTGTAAGTAAAGCATTATAAAAACAAACCCATTCCCCACATAGGCTCACTTGGAATCAGAATCAGCTTGATGGAAGTGAATGAGCCAAACCTTCCGTTAAATCAAACTTGCTCTCTGCCACGGAGTCAATTCTGGCTCACAGGAACCCTAGAGGATAAGGTCGAACTGTGGCTATGCGTTTCCAAGACCGGGACTTCTTATGGGAGTAGAAAACCCTGTCTTTCTCTCAAGGAGCGACTGGTGGTTTCAAACCACTGACCTTGCAGAACATAGCCCAAAAAGTAACCACTACACCACCCAGGTGGTTTGGTCTATATCACAGACACACACACACCACCACCACCACCCCAGCACTGTGTTAGGGATCCGGTCTGAAACGGACATGGGAAAAGTGACAAAAATTCAAATGTTCACCAGGGTTCTTGGGCATTAGAAGGAGCCCTGCTTCTCAGTCACAAAGCTCATTTCCTGTGCCCGCGTGGTGACACCTGCAGGACAGACACAGTGTTCACCTCCGAGAGGTAGTGTCTGCCTCGATGTAGGGTTACATGTCCTGGAGTTTTGCCTCACTGGTTTTTTCACTCTTTATTTGCAGGTCGTGAAATCAAAGTTGTCCAAAGAATATCACCTTATTCAAATGAAACACTCAAGGAACCATATCGTGGGGAGATATTTCAGCATTCAGAACAGACTTCAGCATCTACAAGACTCTGTAGCAAATGTCTCCTCTCCGTACCACGTCAGAGGTCCGATTAATCAGGTTTATTCTGAGATCCTTCTCAGCAGGATGTGTGCGAGTGAACGGACCGTGTAGATGTGCCGGAGGAGGATTGAGCTGGGAGCTGGAGACAAGACGTCCAGCCAGACGCTGCTCTGGGAACCCCATCCTGGACAGACCATGTATTCCAGATCCACCTCACACCCTGTGCGCACCATCACACGCACGCACACACTCAAGTGCACTTTTTTCTTCCCATAGCTTTATAAGGTCAAGATATGGCCCTGAAAGCCCATTGGTTGCAGATGGAAAGACAGAGCTAGACAACGGTTACTTGAAGCTTAATTAAACCAAGACCACTGTGGGTCAGGTATGACTTTGTGACAGTCGAGAGAAATCGAGATACTTGAACTATGTGCCCAAACAAGGGCAATGATCTTGAGAGGATGTTCTGTCCTCCATACGTCCGATAACAGAGAAAGGAGGAAGCCATTACATTCCGTTTGCCGGTAGAGATTGCACTTGGGTCCCTCGTCAGCTGGAAATGTGGCCCTGACGATGGCTTTGGCTTTGTGAATCGAATGCTTATCAAAACCATTTTTCCCATGTTTTGTAAATAAGAGCACTGAAGGGGAAATAAAAGGGATGGTTCACAAGGAAATCCCAAGAGCTTCCACGAGAAAAGCAGAGAGTGAAATATTTTACCATTAAAACACCTTTGCACTCCTGCAATGTTTATAAACATTCCTTTCTGTCTGGCATAAGAAAGGGGTGGGTACCTGCATCTAGGTGGTTTAAATGAGTGATTTTAAAGCAAGGAACGAATGATACATTTCTCACATCTTGTCTGCTTGTTTCGCTGATGTTTTTACTTAAGAGATCTTTTGTTTGCTGTTACAACCTGTGTAAATTAAGATTACAATTATGTTTTATGTAAATATTTTGCAAAGGGCTTAGGTCTATTTCCCAGAAAGCATTTGTCCATGTTATAAATAGGCCTCTGTTACTAGTATCTGAATTTTTAGGCCCCTGAGCAATTCAAGCAGTGATATCTAATCCAAATTTAGAGTAGACATCGAATTATGTTTTAGTAAAGCTTAGCAAACCTAAAAAATACCTAATTTTGGTATTGAGAACTTTCTCTTCTATATTTTAAGTTCAAAATGGCAAATTTCCTTACTCTGTTTTAGCACCTGGTGAGGTAACACCTCACAGGTACAATGTTTTGTTTGTTTGTTTGAAGATAATTTTTAGTTGAGGGGGATATAGCTGAGAGCTAAAACTGCCAAATGTAAAAATACCTCCGTTCCATTGGGACTGTTGTTAGCTGCCATCAAACCCGTTCTGGCCCCTACCAACCTGTGCTGTGCCAATTCACCATGGTTCTTCTGTTGGAGGCCATTCTTGCAACCACGGAGTGGGTCCTTCTCATTGAGGGTCTCCCCCCTTTCCACTGACCTTCTACTGTGCCAAGCCCGATGTCCTTCTCCAGGGACAGGGCCCTCGGGATAACATGTCCAAAGACCATGAGACGAAGTCTCGCCACCCTTGCTTCCGTGTGGCATTCTGATTGCACTTCCTCCAAGAGAGACACATTTGTGCTTCGGGCAGTCCCAAACGATATTCAATACTCAAAGGCATCAACCTTCCTTTGGTCTTCTTTATTCGTTGTCTATCTTCCATAGACATATAAGATCATTGAAAATACCATGACTTGGGTAAAGTGCACGTTGGTTCTCAAAGTGACACCTTTGCTTCTGAAGCAGATTTACCCCGTGGCGCAGTAGGGTGCTGATGTCTTGAGCACGACCTTCATGGGTGTCGATTATGGATCCAAGTAAGATGGACCACTTGACCACTTCCATATTTTCTCCATTTGCCATGATACTACTACTGGTCCAGTTGTGAAAATTTTTGTGTTCTCTCTGGAGAGGCATAATCCACCCCGAAGGCTGTAGTCTTTGATCTTGGTCAGTCAGGGCTTCAAGTCCTGTTCAATTGTAGTAAGAAGCTTATGCCATCTACATATGGAAGATTATCGATGAGTCTTCCTCCAATCCTGAGGCCAACGTGGGTTATCCTGTTGATATTGGAAATACTCCAGTGGCATCATTGCAACACACAAGTCACCACATATGACAAATCCCCCTTGGACAATTCTATTACTATACAGAAAATAAAAGTATTTTGATTGATCAATTTCTTAGTATGAGTATCAACTTTTAAAAAATACTCTATTTTTATATATATTTTTATATGAAGACAAATGTGAATATATATTTAACTGTGTTAAGTTATATCTAAGCACAAATATCACTTGATGTAAACCATGCATAGTTGCCTTTTACAGATGATAGGTTTTTGTTTTGAAGAATGGTACTGAGTTAGCCAGAAATGGAAGATATTTCTTAGGATCTTCCATGATATGCAAGCATCATGTTTAGATTTTCAGTGATTTAAGGGAAAAATATGAGTTGTCAACTGATGCAGCACGTCCATGGTGTGTTTTAACGTCTGATATTCTCTGTAGCCGTATCACATGCAGTGGGTGTTTCTTGCCATTACCTCTTCAATCCAACTGTAAAGCTCTTCTGGCTGAGATTAGTCTGGTGTTTACCTCTTCAGTGTTGGAAAGATAGTAGATTGGGGAAATAATTGTAATAACATTATCAATAAACATCTTACTATTGTCCGTATTTACAGAGCATCTGCTATTTTCCTTTCTTCTGGCAGAACAGAGCCATACAAGCCAGGATCACTGGGCAGGGGTGTTACCATGTGGATTCTAGTGCTGGAGCATGCGTAAGTGGAATTTCCATGCTGGAGCATGCGTAAGTGGAATTTCCATCCAATCCTGCCGTTCTCTGAGTTTATGATCAGACCAACTCCCTGCTGCTCGATGGCCAATGTTTTTTAATATAGTATACTAAGTCTTTTGTTGTTGTTGTTTTAAGGGCACTTACAAGATGAGGATCATTTTAATTATTTGTAACTGAAGAAGTGATTTTTTATTTGGTGGAAAAGATACTATGTGCTTTAGCCAGTTCACAGATTGAGAAGAAAAGAAATGGAAGGGCGCATTTGACATTTCTAGATGTTAAAGTAAAGGGGCTGTAGTAGTATGGGGTAAAAATGGATTATTTTCCAATCTAAATGAAATTAAACTAAAGAAAATAGATTATTAAAATGTATGAATAACCGCATACACATTTCCAGGCATAATGTTGGCACATTGTGTCTCTATAAGTATGCATGCATATGCCTGGGGATGTGGGTGTGTCTGTCTGTTTTTAACGGTGCGGTACATTGTTTGCCAGATCGGCCATTCAAAACCACCAGCAGCTCTGCAGAAGATGAGCCTTTCTACACCCTGAAAGCGTTACCGTGTTGGAAACCCACAGGGTCAGTTCTTCCCCATCCTGTAGGCTCACTATGAGGTGTCATCAACTCAGTGACAGTGAGTTTGGCTACTTTTAGTCCCCCGGTTATTTGTGGTGCAGTGTATTACAGGTCAGACTTCTAACCACAAGGTCAGCAATTCAAAACCACTACTCACCTGGAGAGAGACGAGACTTTCTATTCCTATAAAGATTAACAGGCTCAGAAACCCACAGGGCAGTTCTACCTCATATTCTAGGTGCTCGATGGCAGGGAGAGCAGAGTTTGAGTAACCAGTTACAACACCGTGCAGCTACAAAATGTTAAGGATGCAACATGTTTTCTGTAACACTACGCTTCTTCTCTGGCAAGCGTCTCTCTCTCTCTGGTCCTCAGACTCTCAGCCACATGTTACAAAATTCCTCGAGTGCTGATAAATGCCCACAGGATACCCCCCAACTCTGTAAGTCAGCCAGCTGCCCGCAGGCCTTCAACTCGACTCTCTCCGTGGGCTCCAAAGCCTGCTGCTTTGTCTCATAGTCTCTGCTGTGGCTGCCACTCCTCCGTCTCAGACGTGGTCACTTGTGGCTCTGCTTTCCTGATGGTCACAGGGTTCTCCCTGCCTGCTTCTGAGACGGCTTACTTTCCACCCAGTGGAATGGTCACGCTGAACAAGCCCCCACATAAGAGTCCTCCCCACCTGACGTGCTCATTCTCACCCAGTCACTTGATGAGAGTTACAGACTATTGAATAAAAGGGTCATGTCAAGTCATCCAGCCATACCACAAAGGGTTCCTTAAATTGACCAAATGCTAAAACAACCATTAGTATCTAAGATTTCTCCCTGTGAAACGTTATCTTATAAACACAAGATAAATTTAAAAGGCATCCAAACCCCGTGGTCAAAATCATGCCTTGCAAATGAGAAAACTTCACTTTGAGTAAATTCCTAGGAGGTGATTATTTCCAAAATATGAATCCAGTACAAAACAATGCCACCGCAGAGGCTGCTATTGTGAATGAATCAAGGAGCAATTGCTCTGCAAATGCTACTGTCGTTGTATTGTTCTTCTCCCTTATTCCTTTTTCTGTGTACTTAAAGTTCAAGTGGTTTTGATTGCTCTTGGAAACGAAGGCACTTTGATGGATCGCTTGAGCTTAAGGGGATGATCCAGAAGTTGTCAGAAACCCCAAAGACCTTCTAAAGACCGCAGGATACTGCCAGCGCCTGAGAACAAGATTTTGTCCTTGGCACGGCTTCCAAGGTTCTATATGCCAAAGAGCCTTTTATCATATTTTTTATTGCTGCGGTGACTGCTATTATCAACTTCCATATTTCTTTTATGATTCATTCACTTGGGGTAGGGCACAGGCTTATTTTCTTTCTTTCTTTCTAATTGCCACGGACTGTGTAGTCCTCCTACAATGGCCCGCCATCTGTTTTCTTTGTGAGTGATAAAATAAATATCAAGAGTTTTGTTATATGGTTGTGTTCAACCTCGGTGCACTGTGCTTTGCCACACTCGATTCATGGTCAGCTTATGAATCCTGAAACGTATCGAGTACTTACCTGAAGTTCTGTTCGTCATGGAGTTGAGAATAATTACTTAAGCCCAACTAATAGTTAAAACATAATAACATTCACATTCAAGAACCCTACCACAGGATTCCTACAGGGCGGTCATATGGAGGTAGATTCGATTTTGAATTTGACATCGGCTGACTGGCACTTTCTACCCCAGTCTGTAGCACTCTCTGCAAAGAACTGTTTTCATTTAGGGTTTTAGTCTTTTTTCCAATCCTTTGTGGAACATATCTGGGGGAAAATATTGCATTGTAGATGAGGTTATGAATAGACATTTAATATCTCCGGCCAAGACATTTTCTTGGGAAATTTATGTGTAGCATCTTATTATCCAAAAAATCAATGCCTATGAAATCCATAACAATGTTTAGGTGTTTTTAAAGCAAAGTAGTTGTAATTGATTACTAGTACATCCACATTCAGATATAACACGGTTTCATATATATAAAATATATTCAATTAATTCTCAGCTAGGAGTGCCATCTTTCATGGTTGGCCATTGAAATGCAGCCTTGGGGGCTAGGCTCAAAGATGGAACAGGGTGGTGTGTATCTACTTATGCACTTGGTTGAGTGGTATTTTCATTTTGCGCTTTACACCAAAATTAGTTTCATGACACTAGCATTCCGAATTCTTTCCTCTCCAGCAAGTATGTTGAGTTTTAAAAAGGTACAAAATGCCAACATTGAAGCAAATGTAGTTTGGTTTAGTCAAAGGGTCTACCGCAATCAGAAAATGGTTGAAAGGGAAGTTACAGCACAGACATTTATTATAAGAGCAAAATTCTTATAATTCCCACACTGGGTTCTGGAGTAGGTAGACATTATGACCACACTCTCTTCAGATCCTAGACATTTTTTAACCTCTTCTTAACACCCAAGTCATTTTTCGAGGATCTCATTCCCAAAGACAAAGTAAATAATAATTTAAATTTTTTATTGGACTCAAGATTACACCCTAGATTAACCAATGAGCATCTGAATGTGGCTTTATTGATAACTTTTTCTTTATAATCCACAAAAATAAAATAAAATGTCCTCTAAGCATCAATATAGTATAGCCTTTGGAGAAGTTGAAGGAGTGACCTATCTTTTACTACCTTTATTATTCACCTGCAGAATTACTTGTCCATCCTGACAACCTCTGTGTGTCCTAACCCCCCAAAATGGAATTTATGCAGTATTTTCTGGTACATTTAACTTGTAATGCAAGCTACATTTACGAGCTTGATTCTAAGTTCTTGATTTAATTACACATGGCATAAAGCGCCTGTTTACAAGGGTATGCACGCTCCACTTTTACACTATCAAGAGTTTCTAAGCCTTTTGTTAAAAGTTGGAACTGTATGAATCTACCAGTTGCTCCTCAGGAAAAAGATGAAGCTGTCAGCTCCTGAAAGATTTGCAACTTGGCCAACTCTGGGAGCAATTCTATTCTGTCCTATTGGGTTGCTGTGAGTTAGAATTGACTCCAGGGCAGTGGGATGCTGTTGGTCTCTGTCATTCTGTTGTACATGGTGTGGTAGTTACATAAT